CGGTTTGTGTACATGATAATCGCTACATTTGATAGTCGTCGAAAGAGTGAGCCAAAGCGTTTACACAATGTAGGAGTGCCACACCCCAAAAAACAACCCCCCCCCAAAAAAAAACTACATGTTACATTTATAAAACTAATTAAAACTATCGTGAAAATGCCCTTCGTTATTTATTGTCTTTGTCAACTAATATACATAAAAATTCGGGTTGATTTTAAATGTTTATTTCTGTACCTTACAGATGAAGGAAGTTCAAACAGTCATTTGGGGATTGTGGTTTACTTTATTACACAACACTTGGTGACTCTTTCGTCTTTTTATTTAGCAGTCAAATACTCTCAAGATACTTATGAAAACAAACTAAAACTAATACTAAAACTAAAATGAAACATTTTTGATCCAATAAAGCCTAATTAAAATTAAATTAATTAAAAAAAAAAACAAGACCTAACAAAATAAAAAGGATGATAAATATTCTCAAATTATAATAACCCCAGTCATTTGTAGCTTTGCCATGAAACATTACTATAAATTTTGAATGTTTTTTGTATTACAGTGGCACTCTCACAATATTGCTGCCTTTCCATTGCTAATCATGGTGTTTTGACTTTTAAAGAGGTATTTGTTTATCAGAAAAACAAGAAAGATATTAACGTTTTAGAAAACGAATAATGCACAACATTTGGAGATACAAGCTTTTCGCGATCAAGCTCCAGGAAAGCGGTTTATTGAAGGCCATGACGGTTTAAGGAATTGATCAGAAAAACGGTGCAACCTGTCTACCAAGGTTAATGTCATCCTAATAAAACTGGAAAACAAATAACAGATGGATGATATGAATCCAGTGATGCTTGCAAGGTGGAAACTAGAGGAATAATAAGTGTGTGGAGCACTGGTATTTGCTTCAAGCCTCTGAGGAGTGAGAAGCACACTCTTGATGCGAACAGACTGACAGCCTTTGAACCTTTTAAACTTGTATGCAAACATCTTGGCCTCCGGGCACGGTCAGAACTGTCATTCATAGGAGCTAAATCACATCTTATTAATAATCTGCCAGACTTTCGACATGGTGCGATGGAGGATGAGGCGAGAGAAGATGGGGGGGGTCCAGAGGCATAAAATGGCCTCTTTTTTTTTTTTTCAGCAGACTGAGAATGATTCCGCCGTATGAATAGACAAAGAGCAAGGCATTGTTTAGGTTTGTGTGGCCCTCTTGTTTCCTGTCGCACTGACCCCAGGCTCTCCCTTCATCTCTTGCTCCGCTCCGACACGCCACATGCATGCGGGATGAGTACACAGAAGAGGGAGAGAGGGGGCAGCGGGAAAACAATTATGCTTGGTCGTCATAAATCCAAGGGATGCAATTTGCGAGCGATTCACTATTAATTCTTTTGAGTGTTTATAAATGTGGCTAAGTGAAGAGAAGAGCGCTGCTGACGCTTAAATAAATTAGCTTCTAATTGGATTGTGATTCATGAAATTCCCTTGTTGTGTTGACGCAATTAATAGCATATGAAATTGCAAATTAATCCAAAACGGAAACATGCACTTCACTTGTGTTTATGTGGGTCTCTCACTTTGATAAACATTAATGGTCCTCTCACTGCATTAATTGTGTTTCTCCCAGAATGAAATGAAACAACAGGAAGTAACGGCAAGTGTTGAAAAGGAAGGGTTAAGATAGCAAATCATGCTGCAAACGTTCAATTGGCGTCTCTCAAGATGAATGTCATGGCAGAAGTACAATGCAGAATTGAAACAATACTTTGGGGGTAAATACAAAGTCATAGAAAAACTTCAATGATGAACTGGCATCGTGTTTTGACCTAAGTCGGTAGCTCAAAATAAATATGATGACCACAGAATAGGAAATAGACATTTTTTTGGCTGCTCAGTGAAATGTAGTAACGTTTACAAAAACTCAAGTGATGAAGTGAGTACGGTGGGAGGAGATGTGTTTATTTTTGCTGTTGTAACCTCCCCTGACAGGTTGATTTCTGCTAAGGCAATGATAAGATAAGATAAGGTAAGAAAACCTTTATTAGTCTCGCAATGGAGAAATTCCCAATTCACAGCGGCGAAGTTATGAAAGGAAGAAGCAGAACAAAATATAGGGGCTCCCGGAAAGGCACGATGAGCACACAATTCATATTTCTATATTCACACTTGTTTTTATACCTGTACAGATGTCAAGCATGTTATATTGTTTCTTAAAACAATTGTCCTTGAGGTAATAAAGGCTTAAGGATGGGGACATTTTGACCATGGAACAGATTAATCAAACATCCACTATGTGTTCCTTTGGTGTTTCAGAAGTGAAATGTGTGGTAGCAGCATAAACTGCAAATGCAGATTTTCTGAGTATACTGTAGATGGGGAATGTGACACATTACATCAAGGTTCTGCAGCAACTTCTTCAAATGTATTTTTTGCTTCGGTAATGCTTTTGCATGAATGCTATTCCCGGCAAGTTACGAGCATTCGATATGCCGCCACTGCTCAATTTTTTTCTGGTTTTGCAAATCCACGATGGAAGGATTTGCTTTCAACCACTCACTGTGGCAGCGAGGGAGGAGATAGTATATATATTTTTTAATACTTTATCTTTTAATATGTAGCACAAGGTTTGACAAACCTTGTGTTCTCCTGATTCTTATTCTCTATCTGTGCCAGCGTGCATTTGTCCAGGTTGGGGGCGATATGAAACAGACCGAGTTGATTGTGCTTGCAGTGGTGGTATTGAGAGATTGCGACGGAGCCGTGTGTCTGCATGGGCTGAATAATCAGGTAGGTAATGGGCGACCAGGACAAAGGAGGATGGAGGCCCTGTATCAGTGGTCTGTCTGTGTGTGCGTGTGCACGTGGCCGCGTGCATGGGGGTTGGAGACGGGCAGTGGGAGGCTGACTGCTGGATGAAGCCCTATGCTGGTGCGAAGCCTAATGGGGGGCAGAGAAGTTAATTCCACTGTGCTGGAGCTTTATCTCATTTTCATACATATGAACGCGTCGGGCCGAGATCGATTACCACAAACAAATTGAAATGCTTAGAGACCCAAAAGGCCTGCAGAGCGGTGAGCAGGAAAGACGGGATTGGGTGAATCTGTATGTGTCTATGAATTTCTGAATTTACCGATATGGATGGAAAGACACAAATCACCTTTGCATACTGATTGCTACCTTCCCACACACACACGCGCGCACACACACGTCTTATTATTCACCTCCACGCATGGAAGCAACTCATTCCAGTCGATAATGCTTTGCCTTCAAGAGAAGTGGCAGACATGAGGCTATGAGCACAATCACAGAGGTGGCTTATCGAGTGATTAGTCTCCGCAACAACCGCACTTTCTTTATTTTTCTCCTCAAAAACACACCCACTCACTTATCATGTTGCTTGCTATCTCATTAATGATCACGCAAACCCTTCAACAGGCAAACCTTCACTGAGTGCTGTTGGTCAAATTTAGTCAGTTCACTGCCCCCCCCCCCCTCCCAAGCTGCTTTCTACATTTGCTCTCTAGCTCCCCATCAACACTGAACCCCAGTCATGCATCTACACACAGCTTAGACTGTCCCTTGGGTGACCTTCAAGCCTTTTCAGTCTCAAACCTGAACATGGCACATTTGGTCTACATAGTAAACATTGATTGTGTGACTAGCAGGTCTAGTTCAAGCAATGGTCCGGAAGATTATAAGATACTGCATGTATAATAATTCAGTGCCAAGCATTTTGCCATTATCAACTGGTAGTTAAAAAAAAATACAATATATATATATATATAGAGAGAGAGAGAGAGAGAGAGAGAGATCGATATATCCAACAATTGTTATTGTTGGTATTCAACTGGAAGGACTCATAAAGCATTCCTCAAATTCATGCTTTTGAACAAGACCCCTTGAGGGGTCTTTATCCTTGGAGTCATCACCGCTTGCCGTCTTTGAGTAAACTATTTATTTGATTGGCTGAGTCGTGTTGTGTGGGAAGAGCTATAAAAAATGTGATTTGTCTGTTTGTTCCTTGTGCTCAAACATTCACTATGGCACAGAGCAGGTGAGCAGGAAGAACAGCTACGGTAAAGCGCCCCAAATATGAGCTTTTCTAATTATTGGCGTCAAAATAACGAAACAAGTCCTGATGAAAAGCACACGGGTCATGATCAGGGCTAGAGTCTGCCTATTGAGGACATGCATTAAGTCAAAAAAGCAATATGATTCAGGGCAAAGGAAAAAATATTCACAACTGTGCAAAACAGCTTCTCATTAGAAAACACGTAGCCTCAAAAAGAAAAAAAAAAGGCACTAATCTTTACTTTGTACTATTGATAACCATGGTGTGTTCATCCATTTTAACTTTCTTCTTCAGAATGATAAAACGGATTCCTGTCTTGTAATCCGAGAGCTCAAGATTTAAAAGCAAGAAAGTCTCATTAAAAACCCAAAAGACACCCACCCCCCCTTTAAATTAAAACCCAACACAAATAACTCGCCCATGTTTGCAATGCGATGTTTGCACTAAAATACCCGTACAAGACTCAGGGTAAGCGAGGACACTGTTTTTTTCAACCTCTGTCCTGAGGCATTACTCATAGCTCAACGCCTTTATTTCTCCATGCTTCTCCATTTTGCCTTCACCACTTCTCCAGGCCGCCCTTTGTAGCCACAACACACTGTGCTTTGACAGGATGCCTTCACACACTCCACTGCCTGCTGCTGCGGGCACAGCAGACGTCACCCTGCATTTCACTCTGCTGCGCTCTCTCTCTGTGTGTGTGTGTGTGTGTGTGTGTGTGTGTGTGTGTGTGTGTGTGTGTGTGTGTGTGTGTTTTGGAGACGTGGGGATTCGGAGCACAAAATGGTGCACGTGTGTACATGACGTCCGACGGGGTTGGGTAAGGACATCAAAGGCTATGTGTGTTTAATTTTGCAGCTTTATATGAAGCCATTACTGCCGATTATTAATACTGAGAAATAAAAAAATAAAGATGACTGGTACTCACCTTTGGGTTTCTGTTCAGCAGCCTGCAGGGGAGAGAGCAATGAAGTTTCTTGAAATAAATGCACCAAGAGGGGTGTTTCAGTTGCATTAGAGTGGAACAGATATGAAGCTGTCCCACCCATTGCAGCTACAGTATCTTACATTCCACACGCTGCAATAGAAAGGGATCTTCCCCAAAATGTTCCCACAATCTCAGGAGCATAACATTCTCTAAAACATGAGAAACGAAGAGCCAACTGAACCCCTTATTGACTGTTGTGTTTTTTGTGTAAGGAGATTTATCTATTAATAACTTCACCAGATGTGCAAGTGAATCACCTTCTTCTGAGCGATGACCTTCTTGATCTTTTCTTCTTGTTTTTTCTTTTTCTTTTCTTCCATCAAACGGTTCTCGTTCTTGTTTTTCTTGCTTCTCTCAGCTGTAAAACAACAGAACATTTTTTTTTTTTGTCAAAAACAGAATTCCACTCCAAGGCTTTGATTAACTTTGTTCTCTTTTTCCCTCAATTACAACGTACACAAAATAGACGCGTCATTGATCAGTGCATGCATTTCAAACGTGTTTGTGTAAACTGGAAGCCCCTTCCATTTGATTTACTTCCAGTCGCAGCAAGAGCGCACACCGTGTCTGGGAAAAGGTTTCCATCAACAACATTCCCTTCATATGTAAATTGCGCTTGACATGTCTAAAGGAACATTTTTCCTCTCAGTCAAAAAGTATAATAGAGCCACAAAACAAAACAAGGAAGCGATTGAAGGGCGAAAAAGTGACAACACAACATGAATTAGGAAGACAGATGACGACAGTAAACAGCTGAAATAAAAATCATTGTGGAAGAGGAATTCACATAAGAAGCAAGATGTTCGAGTTTTGCGAGCTCTCCAAGCAGGACAGTGCGAACATCAACAAAGTGACAGAATGATACACACAATGTTGGTTGCGTGAGTCAAACTTGCTGCATAGATTGCCCGAAGGCCAGAATGTGTTGTGTTTCCTTAGTGACAGTGCTGGAAACTATTGGAAGTATGAACTGGGTCTTAAGGATGGCGCCTGTGCATGCTTGTCGATGTCTGGATGTTTGTGCACTTGGTCTTAATGAGCTTAGGACATAGGAATAATTTGTGATATCAAACTGATGATACACCGTGCCGTGAAATCAATCATCATCATGTGAGAGTCACATGATACCACCTTTGGGAGTGCTTATGAATTCATCCTATCCAATGAGCGACTTAACAGAGGGGAACATCACAAACAGCCTCACAGGTCTACTACACTAACAACATTTTGGGGCAAAGCGTGGCTCAAAATGTACTCATTCTTCTAAAGCCTAACGCAACAGAACTGAAACCACAACAATCGCGTTAGTGATTGATGCAATCAGCCAAGTCAGCTTAAAATTATGCACGGCACGAGGGTGAATCCCAGTAGAGGTAGCATCAACTTACTTGTGCCAGCAGGAGATGCTGAATAGCACGTAGCACAGTTCAAAGGTCAGACTAATCTCTGGGAGACGCGTCAATAGCAAATTAGCAATGCTAATACCAGCAGATGTGGCCCTGACCACAATGCAAGCTTCAAAGGGGGCAAACAAGGTCAACTTTACAATATTAGGTGCAACTGAACATTGCATTGTCAACCTCATGTTTGTGGATTATAAAGAAATACTTTAGAGTAAAATGTTGGGACCTGAGAATGGATGGAAACACAGAAAAGAAAAAAAAATTACGATGGCTTTGTTTACTTATTCCAAGAAGTGGCAGTAATTACAGCTTGGTGAATATTGACTGCTCTTCCTCATTTGAATCTGCTGGGGATTCTTTCCACATCCTGGTTGGCCTATTCCAACATGACCACATCCATGCTGTCAATCACAGTTTCACCAACTCTTTATCTGTCCAATCACTTGATGTTAAATGAGAACCCTACTTGAGATACAGCTTTTCATTCTGCTGTTTGTGCAAAACAAATTTTACTGCGCGTGTGAGGGAAACTGCCGGACTTTATTGCGGGTGTTTTTCTTTTAAATGTGACAGCAGGGACAGTTGGGTTTTTTAGCTGACAGAGTAAATGCCAGGCGAGGCTACCTCACATATCCTTACCTGTCTCGCTGCCTCGCTCTCAGCACTGCTGACACAAGCATCTAATCAGTGGTGACCCAGTATTTCACACTTTGAATCTAACAAACTGAACACAAATAAAGTGCAACCTCTGAAGTTTGAAGCCAAAGGTCAACCTCTGACTTATTTCAATATTTTGAAACAATGGAAAGTGGAAATCCGAATAATCAGTTTCAGACTCAAAAGAAATGAACTTCGCATAAAGTCTGGTGTTTATACTCGTTTTTCTCCTCTGATGTTCCCAAAAAGCTCAATAAACAGGGTTCTCCACTGACGCAGAGACTACATGTGCGCTGCTATTCATGACACCGTTACCTCTTAGTTGAGTCGGTGTTGGAAGGGGGAAAAAACCTCACAAAAAGCCAAAGAAAAATGAAAACCAGTACCCAGAATTCATCCTTGGATCCTTGCTGAGATTTTGCATGACATGATTTATGATAGCTGAACATTGACCTCAAATACATAATATTTGGGTTTTACGTAGATTTGTACGGTCTCAGGGGAATTTGTATTTTGAATTCCCCTTGCATGCCTACGGCCATAGATTCTTGTGACTGTGGTTCCATCGAACCAAATAGAATAAATGGGCATCATGTAAGTAGGTGGCGCAGTTGTGGTGAACACAGTACGGTAAGGAGAGCAGTCTATTGAGAATGATGAAGCCACAGTCATACAAGCTTGACATAGAGAGACGGCAGAGAGGCGGTGTGTCTGGTGCCATTCTGTCAGGGAATCTGGGGAAAGGGAGGGAGGGGTGGAGAAACAGAGGTGGGTGGATGAGAGGAAGGAGGAAAAAAAAACAGGCGGTGGATGAAAGCAGAAACAGAACAACACCAATTAAGAACGACATGCCGCCGGAGAACCAGACAGGGCGAAAAAGGGGAACCGAGGCTGGAAGTGGTAAAGACAGAAAAGAGAATCCTCACTGGATATACAGTGAAGAGAAAGAAAAAAAGTGAAGCAAGCATGATGGAGGCTGGCAGACAAGGGGAGAGAATGAGAGAAGAGGCGGGGGTGGGAAGCACAAAAATAACCATGTGCCTTGATTACTAATATCCATCGGACGGCGGTAGGAAGAGTGAGAAAGTGCACAGTCGAGAGAAACCGAAAGACCTGCGCTGCTTTCGACAAAGACAAATGAAAAGGGCAAAGATGCTGCAGGGAAGACACAAAAGCTTGATGCGTTTTGAACGGCGCCAATCGCAAAGCAGGGAGGTAACGACGACAGAGGAGTGAAGCAATATAATCCACCATTACTACATGACGTGGGAAACTTGGTAGCCACCACTGTTAGCATTTAGCAAATCCAGACATTCATGTAGTATAATACTGGTGAAGTTTAAAGTTAAGAGCATTCTTTTCATTCCTATAGCAAACCGGTTAAATGACTCGATTTGTTCCAGGCTTGAACTGTAGATACGGTATCATTTTGAGATGTTCCCCTTGACTGACACTCTCTGGAGCAATGTGCTAGTGTGACCTGTCAACTCGGCGTGATGATCGCCGTGTGGGAAAAGCAAGGCTGTAAATTCAACAAGCAAGGCTTCTGCTGTTGTTGTTTGTGAGCATTCTGCACACAGAAGCTTCGCCTGAACCAGGTGGGTCAAAGTATAAAACGTGCTTTATTGCCACAACGCTGGACTTGATCAATGGATGCTGGAATTTGCTGACATGGCTGAAGGCGGGCGGATAGTTCATGAGGGAGAGGATAAAGTCCAACACTGAGGGAGAGAGGGAGCGTTGGTGCTATAAATAATTGTTTTGAGGTTTGCACTCGGGCGTCTTTGCTGGGGAAGCAGCCAAGTTGACATTAAACTTTAACACGGCAGCAGCTCATCAAGTGAGAAAACATCACGAGACCGAGCAGGATGACTGCTGCCGCTGCTAAATCTGACTAAATTCGAGGTGTCAAGCCATTTTACACGTTGGGCCTTTCGGATTGATTTGTGTGTAGAGGATTTGGCATGTAGAGCACAGTCCGCACTCTTGTCTACAAGATGCATGGTGAAGTCAAGAATAACTTACAAGTGAAAAAAATTGTTTGACTATGTAAAAAGTATTGAGCAGTTAATGTATTCATTCTTGCTTTTTAAATAAAATGAGAGCCGGGTGGAACAATTCCTGAAAGCTCTGAAGTGTTGTTTTGATGTCAGCGCTGCATTGAGCCGTCTGCAGAATAATGCTGGCCGCAGGAGTTGTGCCAAAGCATAAGATGTCGCTTGACTTCAGCCAACAGGCTCATTGACACTGAAGCAGTACTGCACAATATTTGCCCTCGATTGCTTTACATCGCTTCACGTGCATGGATTTATTATTCATTCACATTCAATGGGTATGTTTTATGATCTGCACTTTGTTCCAATCAAACACAAAATTGTTTATAGTGTGTAAAACATTTTGTGCATCAATTAACTCACAACAAAAGGCCGAATGTAGCGGGAAATTGTCACAATAACTAAATCAAAATTTGACAAACACAAACTGGATGCACGGCAAGACAAATGAGATAATCAGCTGAGGAAGACTTATCAAGGTTACTTTGACACAGCAAAATGTCAACTATCTGACAAGTCTCAAGTTGACAACAATGTGAGCAATAATAACGAGCCTAAACAAATGGACAGAAGAGATTACATTCATGTGACAAAAACATGCCAATTGATTTGAGCTGACCGTATAATTGGAAATTTATTGTTTTGTTGGACAACACTCACTGTAAAATGAACAAACACTCACTGTAAAATGAACAAACAATTGGAGGGTGACCTTTGGGTTACATTTAGGCTTTACACGATCAGGATTTTGGCAAATACGGTGCCCCTGGTGAGTTAAGTATCAAACATATCAATCGTTTAAAGTTTGGGGATCGATCTTTGCACCAAGGGACACCGACAGCTCACACATTACCGATCCCCACCTCACTCCAGCAGGTGTAATAGCGATCTTGTCACTCTGAGCTGTTTTCGTTGTTTTTTGTGTGTATTTTTGCTTGCAAACTCTACCCAATATTGGGCAAAACCTCCTGTATGTACAGTCATTAGGATATTCAGAGTTGAACATTATGCTCTGGAAAGACATCGACAGGAAGCGAACGCAAACTGCAGCAATTATTTTCGTTGGGATGGTGATCAAAGTCCGACCATCCATGAGAGAGATCAGCCGATACCCCACCGCCCCCCACCCACCTACACCCGTGGTTCCTTCGACCAGGCCAAAGATTGTTAAGCATAGGCAAAAATGCAAGCGAGCACAGAGATATGCAGTCATTGGTGATCTTTTTTTTTTTTTCTGTGATCTACCCCAAAAATCCTGATTGTGTTAAAGTCTGATCTACAACCATGCATTTTCAGTTCACTGCACTGATATTGGGGGGAAAAAACAAAAAAAAAAAACAACACAAAGCTAGGACCTAAGAGCCTCAATTCTAATCCCAGTACAAGAACAGGTGGCGCATGCTAGTGCTATTTACATGGCCTTAACTGAGAGCTCTGAATGTGCTGTGGGGCTCAAGCCCTGTTACATCATGAGCAAGGCTGTCTAATGTTAGTTTGGGTATGAAGACTGGAACATTTAAATTGGATGTCCCGCATATTCCCCATCAGGCTTCTTCCATGTAATGCCATGCTCCTTCCCACAGTGTCTCCAATTAGCCAACACGAAAGCGAGGGAGGGAACAGGGCCCCAAATAAAGCTCTGCACAGTGAACATTCCCCTGGAGTCGTGCCAAGACTCACAAGCATCAGCTCGCCAGGTCCCAGCTGCCCCCGCCTCACCCCACTCCATCTCCCAGCTTCAATGCTGACCTGGCTTACCCCTGGTGGGCCCCTTAAGCCCTGCCCCTTCTATTGGCACATACGCTGGGGAAGGAGGCATAAAACAGGCAAGCAACAAAACAAAAATATTTAAACCCGCCAATAAGGAAAAAAAGTTATGTTCGGGTTTCGCCGTCAATACAATGTGATTACAAGGCAAAATCGGAATGGACATCTGACTGCATTTCGATGATTGAATATGAGGGTAATTAATCTGTTCAGGGTTATTTTTAGAAATAATCTGAAAGCATTGAGGGAATTGTTCTGAGTATCCTGATCTCATGTTTTGATGACAATGAGCAGAATTTGCCACAGCAGATTTCTGTCTAACTAATCCATAGGTGACATCCTGGTGTTCTTCAGTAGACACCATGCAGAATTCCTGGTTTTCCTTCTTACATGAATTTCCTTTTTCACTGTTACTGCTGAGAACAACCTCGTCCACAAATACCCCTAATTTATAACAATGCCTACATCAAATTCAACAGACAGGCATCTAATTATTCTGCTCCCCTGCACTTTAAAATAGCCATTCACAGTCTAGAGGACGAGGTTAATGGCTTTTGACAGCCACAAATTGAACCCAGCTGATTCCGCTGTCAATGCCCCCCCAGACTGGAGCAGTGCCCCGTGGTGGTGTTAAGCATGTTATCTATCAGTTCTGTGCCAGTTGTTTGAAAGGCTTCATAATAATGGGCTCGGTAACCACCGCGGTCAGGCCTGGGATAAGATCAATGACAGGGGGGGCTCGGCGATATAAGCCACTTTTCTGAAGCAGGACTAAGTGGGACTTATTGGAGCAAACAGATATGTTTGAAAGCACTTTTTGTTCGTTGGAACTTGGAGCCTCTTGGGAAATTGGCTAACGTAAGAGTTGTGGGATTGTTCAACACAGAACAATAAAGTCTTCTACAGCTTCCGGCTTTGTGATGGGTACAAGCCAAGGAGAGCAACCTGAAGACTCGACGGGGTGCAGTGTATTATCAGGAAAAGGTCAGACATTAGAAAACAAACCTTGAGTATTATTTGCAGCAAATTACCCAGATGTGGTACACCTTGAGTATTATTTGCAGCAAATTACCCAGATGTGCACTGATACGACACAGCAGAGGGAATGGGTTTGTCCTTGAGGTAGTGACAATATGTCCAAACAGCCTTCAGCACGAGAGTGCTGCCAAGAAAAAATAAAAAAAAAAAGAAAAAAATGTTTATTCTAATGTTCTCCTGCTGTAGAGAGGACAAACTAACAAAAAGCTTTTTCTACGATATAGGGCACTTTATCAGAGAATTCACCTGATAGAAATTAAGCCTCAGCTGAGCACACAGTGACTACTAGTGTTGGCGGGAATACTCCATTTCATTCCTAGGTCCCCAAAACTCAATGACAGTAACTTAAGATGGTTTGATTCCACTCATGATGGATGATAGCTATGACGACAAAATGCTCTGCAACCAACTTCTCAGTTTCAAAATGATTGGCAAGAACATCGTCACTCCGTCGTGCGTAATATTGCTTAATTATTGTTTATTTATTTATGTTCATTCATTAACCAATAGCAGAACACAACAATGTTAAAAAAATCAGAAAACGAAATGACGTGAAAAATTAACTTTCATGCAATTTTTAAAAATCCATTTATCCCATTAATTTTGGGAATACTTAAAAGGACAATCTATTCAAAATATATTCAACAGCTAGAGCTACCTAGTACACGACGCTGCCAATGGATGAGATACATTCACGCAGACGTCTGCTTTTGCAAAACTCGTCCAGACAGCATTATCAACAACACAGAGGAAATGGAGTCCAGAACATTTAATGCAATAAGTGTATGTCAGATTTTGGCATGGCAATAGCGTACTACATATTTACGGAGAGAATGTCACGTTTTTGCACCACTCAATCTCATCAAGAATGACATAAAAAAGGGCGGACTGGCACACCATAACGATCCTTAGGCATTCACAGCCACTAAATTTGAACTGCAGTCATTAATCAAAAAGGTAGAAGGATTTTATCCACCTGGGCGGCTCGCTCAAGTCGATGTTACGTATGCTTGGAAGCCCGACTGTGAGGGACTTACAGCAGACTCCCTCTTCTTAACAAGCGTAAACTTCATCTCCTCCCCCTATTCTCTAGTTTATGGACAGCAGAGGGCCCCTGCAAAATCTTTTCACAGGGACTCTTTTATTTGCTATACGTCAGCCTTTGGGAGAGACTGGTGGTGTCTAGGAAGGAGGACACTTGACCCTCTGGAAAAAAAAAAAAAAAATGCGTGCGCGTCTGTGAGCCAGCTGGGTGTTTAGAGGCATGCGGGAGGCACCTCATGACCTGATTAGCAACCGCAGGGCATTAACCAACTGCCGGGACCTTGAGTTTGGCCCAAAAAAATGCTTGCACACACCAATAAAACAGCACTGAGCTGGAAGCAACGCATTCCATCTCGACACATGTATATGTTCTCGCACCAATTTTCTCATTTCAATTCAGCACTGGTGTGTGACGATAGAGATAAGACAGTTCTGACAGAAGACGACAGAGGGAGGGGATGAAGGGGGTTGAAATTGAACAGGAAATTATGTACTTCAATTAAGACACGCCAAAGAGATATTAAAAGCTGTACTTGGGCGCCTGGGGATGCAGGAAGGGGGGGGGGGGCAATGCAATGGAAGGCGACAGTTCAATTAGTATCGGGAGTACAGGTGGAGGAACAGAGAATGGGCGGCGGGATGGTTATGTTTAATAATGTACTTGGAATTAGTGTAGGGGAATGTACAAGATACATGATGTACCACAGCGATATGAACCACAAGCAGATTGCACAATTTTAAAAAGGAATTTTTCTTTAAATACAAAGGCTGCGATCATGCTATTGCATTCCCATAAAAGCATGTAACCCTTTGTGCAAATCCAAGTAATGCAATACCTCTTTGGCTATGTGAAAGAAACTATTCACATGTGCAGTGTTCTCAGTCCCTCTCCACCAATCACAGAAGAGCTGTGATGTAACGCTTAAGTTTCACGTCCAATAACCCAGTATAAAGACTTACAATGCATTGAATGAAGTGTATCTGATCATAATCCTACAACTGTAATTTAGCATCACACCGTTTATTATTTCTACTGGAATCCCCATTGAAACCAATACATTTATATTCGCAGGAGCACAAACTCGAGAGTTGATAATTATGAGGACTTTTAAAAAATGACGGGGAGAGAGAGAGGTGATGAAAATACACTCACCTTGCGTTAAGCACGGCTTTGTCAGCTTGTAATCAATCCCCGGCGTCCTCTCCAAAGTTACCCGTAAAGCGATGGAGCAGATTCAGTCAAGACTTGGCAGCTTCGCCGGCGGCCGCCGGAGCAGCTTGGTGACAGTTGAACGAGGTATACAACGCCCCCTCCTCGGCCACAGATACAAAATCACTGTTTTGTAATGTGTCGTTTGGGAGAAACATTGGAAAAAATGCTGCAAAAATAACGCTAAAACGCCATATGCGATCTCGTATAAGGGGCGGGGAGGGGGACTACGCGAAGGCAACAACAAAAACAAACGATACGAATAAGAATGACCTTGTAAGACGCAGCTAAATTGTTGTCGACAACATTAGCCGGTAGAAGTTGAGCCGCACTGAAAAAAAAAAAAAGAAATGAAAATGGAATGGCGCAGTTTTTTTTTTGTCCGAGCTTGCCGACAGCCGTCCGAAAGCCAGCCGGCCAACTTGGTTTTAAAGTGCACAAAAAAAATAACTGTTGTGTCTAGGTGACCAGCGGGACGACTTGTAACGCGCCAGCTACCGCGAATGCAAAGTGGGAAGCGACTCCGAGAAAATACATTCTGCGAGGGTCCTGACAGCGCAGAGCACGGCCGTGGTAGGCGGATCAGTGAGCTTTCGGCGTCAGTGGTCTCGCAGCCATTTTGTTGAGACTAGCAAACACCGCAGTCGCTTCTCTCCTCCTCCCCTGGAGAGCAGCCAGACCAGGAAGCGGCTCCAGAAACGTCACTCAAGGCCAGCCAATCGGAAGATGCGACGAAATTCCGCCCTCCGCCTACAAAGCAGACGCCAAGCAGCGTTTTGATGCACTTGTTGTGCATATCGACATATACATTTAATGTAGAGGGACAATACCAGTAACACTACAGTACATCCCGACTGTCTAGTGTGCTCTTTCCTTTAATTATTTTTTTTGTGGAAACCAAACAAGAGAAATAATAAAACCTTAATCCGTTCATCCATTTTTCATATACCTGAAGTCACATTTATTCAAATCATTCTCAAATGCTACGAGTAATAAGGTGCGTTTACTCCCGTTATTTTACTTAAGAGCATTTGACTAGTGCATGTGAGAGCAAATCCTGCATTATGTGTGTGAGAGAGTGTTTGACTAATGTGTGTGAGAGCCTTTGAGTATTGTATGCACGAGCACATTTCAGTAGTTTGTATAAGAGCTTTTAAGTAGAGTTAGAGCTAATCCTGGATTATGTCCTGAACGTCCCCTTCATTCATCTGCACAGTCAATCTCACATTTATTTTCATTTGCATGAAATGGTGGCAAGGCGTCAAAGCTTAGATAAAAATAATACCAATGAAATATTGGCTTGTATTTCATCAGATACAGTCAAACCTGTTATATTTTCTGAGATACTTCTCACGTTATGAAAATTCCATATCTTAGTGCGAACACTAGTTTTACACCTAGCGTCTTTGTTGTCTTGATTATCCCTCATTTATCATCACAACAAACTGTAAGGCAAGAAAAATGAATCCAGGGCAGTTCAAGATGCCAACTCCATTCTTCAGGAGATGATTCTGTTTTGGTTAGCAACTGAGTTCTTGGTGATTTATTTATGAAGAATAGCGTCTAGGAAATGAGACTTATTACCAATTTCGTTTTCGAATAAGAAAAGTGTCTGTTTGAGGGAGGCACTTGGAGACTCATTACGGATGACCACTTTTGGGGCGTTTCTTGTGAAACTATTCTAAATAGCAGCAGGTTGGCTGTTTCATCCAGAACTAAGCTTATCGGATTCAACCACTTTTTCACACAGTTCCTCTACCCAAACCGACCTTTGTCAAGAAGGTCTTGATCAGGTGCTGTACAGAGACACGGGGCCATAATTCCTGCCTATTTACAACATGATGGATGAGGTCGCCCTTCTGCCCCCACAATCGCATCTGCACACATCCTTTAAAAAGAAAACGCGGCCCCTGTCCATTCTCTACGCTCCTTTCTCATGGAAATGAATTCTCGGCGTACAGACTACGCGCACACACAGACACACAGAGTGCAGTGGGAACAGGTCAAGACTCCACATTACAAAGGGGATGGCTGACCAGTGAGAACTTGCTTAGAAATGCTGAAGGCTCCTACACATCACTCGTAGAGACTACTAATGAGAAAGCTAGGGGCCCTGGCCAAAAGTTTTTTTTCTTCTACATTTCAGGGCAAGATGCCCAAAGCTTTTGAGACCGAAAGCGCCATTAGAATGGAGAAAGCAGATGTTCCACGCTCGGGGTTAAGAAGGGTGAGAGCAGAGTGGAATGTCATCGGGAGGGGGTGGGGGGGGGGGCGCCTTGAGGCACATTTAGTACAGGGTGGATTGTGAACTATGTCAGTTAGTGCAGGAGTTTATTTTGGGGCTTGTACAAACCACTTAAATACAGTGTCATGTGAGTAAGCTCTCAGAAGCACTTGAAAGTCGCAAGCGTCATTGAGCAATGCATTACATGGTGAGTGCACTAGTACCTTGATTAATTGTTTTTTTACATCACCTTCCCGTGACTCAGTGAGCGAAGATGGAAGACACTTGGAAAAACAATTCCTGGGAATCGATTATAATATAGGAAGCCCAATTCCAATCAAGTTGGGACATGTGTCATATGTAAATAAAAATACAATATAATGATTCACCGATCATTTTCAAACTATATTCAATTGGGTATACCACAAAGACAAGATATTTAATGTTCAATCTTATCAACTCGATTGTGCTTTTTGCTCTTGGGGACGGTGTGCCTGTTTCAGGATGTACATCGCGTTCCCCCATTCTCTTTCCATCTAATCCCATTTATTCATTTATGTGACTCCCGAATGTTTCTTTGACTCCTCCAGTTTGGCTAACTGCTTTCACATTTAGGCAGCTGCTGACAGAGGCAAGCCAATGGGAAAAGATCTGCCAGCCAATCTGATAAGAGAAAACAGACACAAGTTGCAGCAGAAGCAATCGTTCACGTCTTCCGCTCTCAGACAAAGACCTTGCTCTGTTTTCTTCAAGATTGCCCTCCCGTCCTTTCTTTTTATTCCAAGTCAGCCGCCACAGTCTGCACGCACTTTCAAAGCATGCACGTGCTTCCACAAAACCACGGAGTCCCACACCGCACACACATTTACCCTCGTGGATGAATATAGTATCTATCTATATATATCTATCATTTTGATCCCATACTGCAGATGCACACCCTCAGCTATGTCTTCAGTGGTTACATGCATATTTAATGCATGTGCTCTGTGGCTACATTTTGTCATTTAAACACATTTCCCACAGGAGGAAGTATCTCTACCCACAAACATTAATAATCACTCGCATTCATAAAACATTACCAGGAAAATTGCACAAAAAGAATCCCGGGAGCCTCCACTTTTGTTTGAGTCAAAACATTTTTCACAAAAGGCCATCTTAAATTCTGAAAGGAAGGACACAATCTAAAAAATCCAGCAATCACTTTTGGCCTGTACATGCAACGGTTCGAGTAAAGCGTTTAAATTTGTAACTTCCATTCAAGTGTAAAAAGAAGTTAACTATTGTGGATGGAAACTAATCACATTTATGTACAAGTAACTGCAGAGGGAGGATTTCTGAAGACGAGTCCACAAGATGCCGGTTTTCTTATTTTTCTCGCAAGTGTAAAAAGAAGACATTAAGACAGAAAAGCGACATTAAATTCTAAACGATAAATCCTGTACTCACAATTAACTCAAATGAAGGGAGGATTCCTGTGTGTCTCTTCACATCAAGGTTCAACGCAGCCGACTATGCGGCGTATATTGAGTTCTTGTACGATAAACTTATCATCCATTTCACCTTATTGTACTGAGCAGCGAAGCTAGCGATGCATACAATGGTATTGCCATTAATCTGCTGCAACATCGGAATAAGCTCCATTTGCAGTTTTATGGAAATCATCCCACGATCCCTCTTTGCCATAACTCGTAACTTTCAAGGGTGGTAGAACCAAAAATCCCACAAAGAGGTAAAGACAATGACTACAAATGCATATTTTAAGAATTTCACTTAATTCCCTAGAACATAGGCCCACTCTAAAAGAATCATTTGAGCATTTAATCTTGAATCATAACACATCATCTAAAAGGTTGACAAACATTTGATGCCGGCACTCAGCCCAACAGCAGATCTTTGAAATCCTGCCTCCCAGGATGGAGCTTTGCAGAATGTGTCTCGTTTGTTTTTGTCAAGGAGTGATGAGTTGGACGCGGCTGTATCTCAGTATTGATTGTGAATACACAAGCTTTCTTGGGAGACCGTCCTTAATGCATGTGAGCAATCAAAATGCAGACGGCGAGCTACTGCCGCTTGGCTCAAAGTGACATTTCCGCAGGCTGGACTTGACATATGCAAAAAAGGGACTACAGTCTCCCGTTTTCGAGATGGGTGAATCTGAGCATGAGCAACAGAACAGAAGTGCATATGCTTGAAGATAACCAAAAATCCCACAAAGAGGTAAAGACAATGACTCCAAATGCATATTTCAAAAATTTCACTTAATTCCCTAGAACATAAGCCCACTCTAAAAGAATCATTTGAGCATTTAATCTTGAATCATAACACATCATCTAAAAGGTTGACAAACATTTGATGCCGGCACTCAGCCCAACAGCAGATCTTTGAAATCCTGCCTCCCAGGATGGAGCTTTGCAGAATGTGTCTCGTTTGTTTTTGTCAAGGAGTGATGAGTTGGACGCGGCTGTATCTCAGTATTGATTGTGAATACACAAGCTTTCTTGGGAGACCGTCCTTAATGCATGTGAGCAATCAAAATGCAGACGGCGAGCTACTGCCGCTTGGCTCAAAGTGACATTTCCGCAGGCTGGACTTGACATATGCAAAAAAGGGACTACAGTCTCCCGTTTTCGAGATGGGTGAATCTGAGCATGAGCAACAGAACAGAAGTGCATATGCTTGAAGATAAGGGATGGGTGTTTGATTTGATTTTAAAAATCTGGAGAAATTTGCATAATTTGAAAATTATATTTTCAATGGGATCGGAGAATCTCAGAATGTCCTGAACAATTTTAAGTAACGGAAGATAAATACTGAAGGAAAGTGGGGCTAGGCATTGTACATAGCAATTAAAAAAAAAACAAACCAAAATGCCAACTACAAAAAAGGACAGTATATTTCAGTTCGGCAGGAGTAATAGCCAAGTTACTGCAAAAAGAAAGAAAGTATAATTTTTTGCACAAAGACACGGGCATTCAACTTTTCAAGTGATGCAGGTTGCAGTGGTGTTAACGTTCAATCGCGCAGTATTACACATGAAATAACTGCACAGTGTGGTTGACAGATTGTGATGTCAATGTCTGAATGTTTACTCAGTGTCTTTGGTGTTTATCAACTACCAATTCCGCATAATAAAGACAGTCATTAATGATTAATTAATCAATCCCATCCATTAAGAAAGACAGATGAAAAACAACATGCTCAGCTGCAAAGCAAGGTATGTGTGCTGCCCTGAATACTGCAAGGATCCTTTTCATTTACTTGCATACAGAATAAATATTACATCAGCCCACCACAGAGAGGAGCCAATATGTCTCCCGCCGATGTACACGATACACACAATAACTGTTGTGTTGTTCATCAAAATGCAATACATTAGTATTAGATTATGACCTTCAAACAAATGCAGTGTAAATGTTTCTCATCCCTTCGTGTAATAACGTGTCTCCAAATGCTACATATTACATTATACGTCGGCCGGGTGATGGTAGGCACAATATAGAGTAAACAGCATCGCCAGAGTAAGGTTGGGCAACACACAGCAACTGCATGTGTGCGTGCATGCTGGTATTGTCAACGTGTGCGTGTGTTTGCTTGTCCATACGAGTGTGTGCAGCGCGGTA